CTTGATATTAAAATTATTTAAATTATCTTGCTAATTTAATTCACAGCTCTCAAGGTCAGTGACACAATGGAGCTAGCCACTCCATGAAACCACCCACGCTGTCATTAGCATCACCTACACAGATCTTTGGGATATTGGTACTAAGCTTGTTGTCCTGTTGGGTTATTAACACCCCACCTTCCCAACCAGTGTCTTCCCATTCCTCCTGTGAGTGGCGCAAGACCAACTGGTACTGCTCGGTGCCCTGGGAGCATCAGCGGGCAGTGATGACATCAGAAGTCGTTCCTGCTCATGTCTTGAATGTGGAATTTCTTTACCACCCATGATTCCAAGCAGTACTGTTCTTGACCCCTCCTAATCACTCCTGTTCACCATTCCAGGCCTGGGCAGGGAGGGGAAGAGGACGGAATGGCAGTCAAGAGGGTTGTCTCTCCCCTACTCCATTCTTCCCTCTCCTGTCACCGATTTCTGACCAGACTGTCGATCCTATCAGGGGTCCATAAAGCTGGGAGGACTCTGGCCCGAGAGAGGGGGGTAGGGGTTAGGCAAACAGGCCAGGGAGGCAGTTGGTTGAAATTTAACCACAATATTCTTGGTCTCTATTGTTTTGAGTGAGGCCCAATATTTCCACAGCAGGATTATAGGATCTGATTAACCATGTTAGACAACAATGCTGAGCTGGGATGGGCTTCCCCTTCCAGCTGCCAATATGAAAAAGTAAATATAACCCCCAGATTTCAGAAGAGACTCCCAGAGCCCCCAAGTTCTACTCCCCAGTTCCCTCAGCTCTGCCACTGCTTGGGGCCCCAAAGTTCAAGGAGGGAGAATGGTACTGCATGCTCCTTTAACTACTGGCCCTTGGCCCAGCGGACAAGTAATCCTGGCACAATCTTCCCAGGTGAGTCAATGGCTGTGTGCTCCCCACACCCTGGAGTTCTTTCAATGCCTCTTCCGGGTTCCCCTGGTAGGTTGGTCTGATTCTCAGAAGTCCATGAGAGTCGGGTGCCCAGAGGCCAGCACTCATTCACAATGGTCCAAGGTTGTAAAAAGCCACCAAATGTCTGTTGGGATCCAAGCAGAAATACTGAGTGAGAGTGTGGGACTTAACAGCCCAGAAAAGGGAGTAAACATTTGGTAAAATGCCTTTGGTACCATCTAATGATATCTCTGTGCAGAGAGGTGGACACCACAGAACCGGAGGACACGCAAAGGACACGCAAAGGACAGCCATGACGACAGGATCTGCGTATGAAGGTTTTCCTTAAAGGGCTGGGATTAAAGAGGAGTTGGTGGCTGCAGTTTCTCCAGGATCCCCTGGGGTCCCCAGCCCTCGCGCAGACAAGCTGCCTCACACCACTCTCAATACTTTCCCTCAAGGAGCATCTTCTGAGATCTAGGGCAGTGGACCACGGAAGGGATTGAGGGCAGCAAAGAAACTTGAACTAGAGTGTCATATAATATCCTTGGGACCAGCAACAGGGACCCCTCCAAAGCAACTTCCTCCTTTGTCTGAGGTGTCTCCTGTATCTAAAGGCCTAGAATGATCTCTTCTAACTTTTCCAGGTAGCAGGGTCTAGTAACCATGGTTGATGGCTTCCTTACAACATGCCACTTACTCCTTTTGAACTGGCTCCTCTCACACATAAGAATATTACAAAAGACAAATTACTCAGAGAACTTAGAAAAATACATTCTGGTTGCTTAAAGGACTGTCATCATAGCTCTTCCTGTAGTGGCCACTGTGATATCACCGCAGCGACGTTTTCCAGCTAGAGTCAAAAGCTCTTCCCACGTGAAAAGGGGAAAACCAAGCTCATGAGAAAAGTGTCTGTTGACACAGGTTACATCAACAATGCAGTGATGATGGGGTTAGCAGAGGCTAGCTCACATCAGGATGAAGTTAGAGGAGTTAGGGACCCCTGCACTCTGTGGAGCAAATCTTTGTAGTTTTGTGAGGAGGAGGAGAAAATAAAAGACTAAGCAGAGAGAGGGAACATTGTCCCTGACAACATCAGGATGAAAGAGAAAGAATCAGTCCAGGGGAAGGGAGGAAAGGGGGTGCAATTCCTTATAATTCCCATTCCCACTGCCATCTTTGCAGCAGACACAGGTGCCTCTGGGACTCTCCTGACGGGTCCTATCTGTAGCAGCTGCCCTAAGGGCTTGGGAGATGAGGAGAGGGTTTACATGAACAAGGAGTGTCCTCTCCCAGAGCCCGGGATGAGGCCTACAGCCCTCCTGCAAAGATCTTGGGCTAGCTTGTCTGAACTCTGCCAGTCTGAAGCACGGAAGCACAGAGCTCTCTCTTTACCACCGCGGGATCTAGGAATTCCAGGGATGATGAAAAGAAGGTGGCTCCCTTCTTTCCAGTTACTTCACTCTCCCTTAGAAACACCCCTGGACCAGGAGGCTGGCTACTGGTGTCAAGAAAAAGGAATGACGTTGGTGGGATTTTTCAAGACCCAGCCTGGGATCTGCTTGTAAGGGCCGCTGGGAAACCCCACGAGACACCAGATAAGGGGCTTCTACCCTGCTGGGGTACAGAGAAGACATCTCCTTCAGCAAGGCGTGACCTGTGATATCTGACTGGTCCCTAGCTTCCTGCGGGGAATCAACCAGCAAGGCCAAGTAGGTCTCGCGACCTAGGTGGCGCTGTTTCTCTACTTTTTAGGTCCAGTTGCAGCAAGAACTTCCTCGAGGTACCAAGCCCTGCTCCTGGCTTGCTGGCTTGCTCGTGTAAACCACCTTATATTATTTTTTTTTCTAAAAATACTCCAAAGCAATTGAAAGAGTCCCTTCTCCCACCAGCCAGCCCTGGCCCCAGCCCCGGCCCCGGGGAGCGGGCGGGTAGGCGGGGAGGTGGGCCACTGCTTTATTAAACACAGGGAAAACTAATATTTACGGAATAAAATTTATGGAGCAGCCACGAGAATTCGACCCTTTTATGTGCATGGGCAGTGGGGGTTGGGCCAGGCTGGGGGCCTCAGGGAGGGGCTCAAGCCAGGGGGCAGGGCTGGAATAGAGCCTGGGTAGGCCAATTTGTCAAAGCGGGGATTTCCCTGGAGTTGCCCTAGGATGAATGATTCTCAAACACCACCCTAGCTCAGGGGTAAGGGTTTCAGCGATGCCTGAGCCAGGGCCTGTGGCGGTAATGCTTCCCCAACAACATTTGAGCAATACCCCCAAGGCAGGAGCAGCCTTAGGAACACAGAAGCAGTGGACTGCAGGGTGACTAGGCACCTTCTTTTGAGAGAGTCCCACAGTCTCATTAAAAAAAATGAACAAAATTATGTTTGGGGAATTTTCCTTGCAATTTTAGGGGATTCATGGTTAAGAATGCCTGCTGGAGGCTGCCATTTGGGCAGAAGGATTAGCCAGCACAGGACACCGAGCTTCGCTGTGGTAACATCCGTGGTGTGGCCATCCTCAGGGGCTCCTGCCTTGGTGAGTCTGCACAGAGGAGAGCACCCTGCTTGACGGCAGGGTCCAGGATAGAGGTGTAGGCTGGGGAAGACTGCAAGAGGATGCTAAATCTTTCTGGAAGATTTTCAGTCAAGTATCTAATAACTGTGATTATCGCTTACTAGCCGCATGACCTTGAGTAAGTCAACCATTTCAAGACTAGGTGTCCTACCAGGCTACTGGTCTCATCTTCAGATGATGCTGTGAGATGCTCATTTGGACAGACTACTCATGAACTGCTCAATAATAGCTAGCCATTTGTTGCCACTGTTCTAACTGTTGTAGTAATCAGTACTTTAGCGTGGCTTGTATGAGCCTGTCTCCCTGGACTGACATCCAGGCAGAAATATCAGTTTCAGGGAGAGGGGGAGGAGACATGGATTTGAGGAAGCCCCTCCAAAGCAAGCACACCAAAATGGCTTCTGCATCTGCCTCCCCCCCCCCCCCGCCCCACCGACCTACCTAAGTGTTCCCAGTGAACATCTGAGTTCACATTCCACTGCTTTCAACCCAAATTCAAGTTTCAGATGCTCTTACTCTAGAGGAAGACATGGTAGAGAAGGTCAAGATGCCGTGCAGACAAGCCTGGGTGCCCAAGAGGGACTTTTGGGTTCTGTCTGTCTTACATAACCTTTTCTTGTTTTCAGACAAGATCTTATTCTGTGGCCCAAGCTGGCCTTGAACTCAAAGCAATCTTCTAGGGGCATGCTAGCCTTACTACATTTTCCTACTAGACAGTGTTAGATACCAGTTATGTTCTAGGCTAGGACTTCTGGGGTTCCTCTTCCCTAGCATCATAGCTATACTTACTACATTATTTAAAGTAAAGAAAGAGAAGTCAGATTTAGGGGTGTGGCCTACTAGGTAGAGTCCTCGCCCAGCATGCAGGAAACTCTGGACTTGATCTCCAGCCCTGCAGACACCAGGTGTGCTGGCACACACGCTTGTAATCCTAGGATGTAAGTGCAGACAGGAGGACCAGAAGTTCAAGGCCACCCTCCTGTTCATAGTTCAAGCCATCACACACCTTTAATCCCAGCACCTGGGAGGCAGCCTGGTTCACATAGTGAGTTCCAGGTCAGCTGGGGCTACACAGTGAGACCCTGTCTTGGGTTGGAGGTGGGTGGGGCTGCAGAAAGATAAAGACTACATCCCCCACACACAGAAAGAGCGAGAACAAGAAAGAGAGAAGGAGAGAGAATCAGATTCCCTTTGCTCCCACCCCGGGACCTGACATTATCCCTAGTACTAGCAGTCATTTGTAATTTTTATCTGACACTATGGTTTAACCTGTTCTCTGTACTTTAGAAGGAAACAGAAAAAACATACCCAAGCCTGACGGACAACAGCAGCAATCTGTCTTGTGCCACCATGGAGAGTTCTCAAAACCAAGGTTTCTAACTGTGACTGACTTCAGGCCACATCAGAGACACTGATGAAAAATCTGCAGGATGGGACTGACAGCTCAGACAGACCCAGAGACAACCAGGGACTGTGGGTGAGAACAGGTTAGAAACCACACGCAGGCAACCTCAACAGCAGGGGAGCGTGAGTGCCTTTATTCTGTTCTAGGAGAAAAGGGTTTCCTGGGGGTAGGTGGGCCTGGTGAGGGCCGCTGTGAGACGCAGACAGGTGTCTCAGGCATGTGTCTGTCTACAGACCAGCTTTCCTTGAGTTCACACAGGGCGCTAGTTCTAGAGAAATCTGGCTTCACTCGTGGATGGAATGCCAGTGGCAGTGAGCTGGAGCCAGAGCCAAGCTTCCACAGGTGAGGGAGCTTCCAATCAGGAGGCCTGTCAACACAGACGCTGGCCTCCGCTGCGGCTCCATCCAGAAGAGGAACACCCTGCTGTTCCAGATGATGCTGGGAGGCCTTCTCGGTGGCAGACATGGCAGCTCAACTGAAGAGTCCTCTCAGCTTCTTCCTCTTGGCCTTTGCCAGCTGAGGTCTCTGCACAGGGCCTGAAGCACCCTAGAGGAAAAAGATCCTGGTTAATTGGAGTTTTGAAACAGATCTCTCATGACTCCTGCTGGTATGAAGCCTTCTTAAAGTATCTGATGTCGGTGTTTTGAGGTCTATTTTAGGAAGTGCTATAAGATTCTAAGTGTGCATGCCCCTCATGGGCCATCACTGGAAGTAGAGTAAGGTATAAGGCGGGGGTGTCAAGGGTCATCGTTCAGCTCAAGAATGGCAGGAGATGGCAAGGGACAATGTGGGAAAGCACAATGCTCCACGACTTGGCAGTGGCTCACATCTCTCAGACCATCAAGGCGGTGTCAACCAGGCAGCGACTGCAGAGACCATGGCTGCAAGGTTACAGGTGCAGGCTTCTCCTCGTGTGTGACTCACCATGGGCTCATGTTCAGGCTCCGAAAGGGCTGGAGTGGAAGAGACTGGCTGTTCGGGCTGTTTCAGAAGCTGGCTATCAGTTCCTCGAGAGGTGGGGCTGCGTGATGTCTGTGTCTCTCCTGAAATCAGAAAAATCAACAGAAGGCAGAGAGAAATGCCTGCCCTCAGGAGAACAGCAGCACTCACCAAGCATTCGGACGAAGGGCAGAGTTTGCTATTAATATATTAACAGATTGAAGGGGCCAGCTTCAGCTGACTTTGAGCAAACCCTGTTCCGACAAAGACTCCCAAGCCCACTTTCAGCACGTAGGTTGAGTTTCCTTGATTCACAGAAGGTGAACAAATTTCTCTGCATCCCCTGGATGAATTTTCTGGCTAGTTCTCTCGTTAACTCCTAAGCACCCGGAGTTATGAGAATGTTCTGTGGAATGTTATGAGAATGTATGTGTTCTGTATCTGCACTGACCACACGGCTACTGAGCACTTGAAACACAACTAAGGTATACAAGGAAAAGAAGTTTTTATTCATTGAAATGTAAATAGATGATTTGGTTAGAACTGCTGAGCTCCAACTCTACTCCAAGCAGACCAGCTGTTACTGGGCATACTCACCAGAGCCTTGACGCTTCTGCCCTGCTTCGATCTGCTGTTTGGTGACTGCCACATACAAACTCTGCAGACTCAAGGCAAATGCCCTTCCATCATCAACAGTGCACACCTCTGGCAATTTCTAGAGGAAAGGTGACATTGTCACTGGTCTGCCTGGCTAGAGAAAAGAGAGCTGATATTCCGCTCGCAGAACTGCCATCAACCCCAAGCAAATCTGTATGAAGAAGTATGATCCGATCCAGGGCGTCCATTTGAAAGCCTGTGGCCACTGTTGGCACAAGGACTTCCCATACACTCTCTTCTGAAGGGTCACTCCGGTGTTTCCTCCAGTTGTGAAATTAATTGTGCTTTACTGTGAACACCCCATGGGCCTCTGGCCTCTTTCTTCTTACGAGATAACTTCTAGGGAGTTGTTTTAGGAAACGATCTTCCTGGCTGGTGGTACAGTTCATTGATAGAGTACTTGCCTAGCATGCACAAGCCCCTGGGTTCAGCACTATACACAAAGGACATTATCTGCCCTAAGCATCCTTGAACTGTACAGTTTGCTGCCTTAAGTAAGTTTACTCCTGAACTTCCACAGTAGAGTAAGAAGAAGAATGAAGTCCAGATGGGGAAAGGAATAAACCAGGGACAACAGAGCTACAGTGAAGCCCGACCTCGGGAAAACAAAACAGAACAAAAATGATGGTGGCACGATGTCAGTCAGGGTTGGATGTAGACCAGAATAATCACACAGGAACTATATTAATTATAGTACGGTTTGGCTGATGGCTCAGGCATATTCCTGTCTATCTCTTACATCTTAAATTAACCCATTTTTATTAATCTATGTATCGCCATGAGGCTGTGGATTACTGGTAAGGTTCTGGCATATTTCTCCTTTGGAGACTATATGGTTTCTCTTTGACTCCACCTTCTCTATATATATATCTCTGTTTGGATTTCCCGCCTAGCTTTACTCTGCTAAGCCTTTGACCAAAACAGCTTTATTCATCAATCAATAAAAGCAACACATACGGGGGCTGGAAAGATGGCTCAGTGGTTAAGAGCACTGGCTGTTCTTCCAGAGGTTCTGAGTTCAATTCCCAGCAACCACATGGTGGCTCACAGCCATCTATAATGAGATCTGGTGCCCTCTCCTGGCATGCAAGCATACATGGAAGGAATGTTGTATACATAATAAACAAATAAATATTAAAAAAAGCAACACATACATATACAGGGGACATTCCACATCAGTTGGAAAGCGTAGTGGGTAGAGCTTTGGAGACCCACCTGCCATCTTATATTTTGGACCTGCAACCCAACTGTGCTTACTGTACCCCTCATGCCCCTCAGTGGGGTGATACCTTCTCCTGAGAAGCCTTTTGAGGAGTGAAAAAGTTCCTATTTAATAGTACATTAACATAAAGACACATATAGCACATAGAAGTTATTGTTGTAAGGAGGGGGCCACTTGTTTGTTTCCCAGCTGCCCAGAAATAATCACACAGAAACTGTAATACTGTTTGGCCTTTTAGCTCTAGCTTCTTATTGGCTAACTCTTAAATATTAATTTAACCCATCTCCATTAATCTGTGTATCGCCACATGGCTGTGGCTTACTGAGTAAAGTTCTGCTCAGCTCCAGAAGAGTTACATGGCTTCTCTCTTAGTCCACCTCCTTTCTCCCAGCATTCAGCTTAGTTTTCCTCTGCTATAGGCCCAAAGCAGTTCCTTTATTTATTAATGGCAATCACAGCATACAGAAGGGAATCCCACACTATGTTATCTTTTTTAAATTGATTTTTATTGAGCGCTACATTCTTCTCTGCTCTCCTCCCTGCCTCTCCCCTCCCCTTCAACCCTCTCCCATGGTCCCCATGCTCTCAATTTACTCAGAAGATCTTGTCTTTTTCTACTTCCCAAAGATGTTATCTTTGCATTCATTTATTTATGCATATATGCAAGCACACATGCAGAGGTCAGAAGACAACCTGGGGGAGGTGGCTGTCTCCTTCCGTCACATGACCTCTAGAATGGAACTCAGGTCATGAGACTTCACAGTCAGTGCCTTTATCTACTAAGTCATCTTACAGGCTCCATAAACAGATTTTGGTAAATCTGTGGAAGTATAATTTCCTGAGAGGGTGATTAGGAGAAGCTGAAAGATTCCTTAAGGAGATGATAATGACACGATAGAGCTGCGAGCTGCGAGCTGCTCTAATTGCATTACCTTTGCTACAGGACAGATTGTGGACTTACATCCACAGCTACGTGCTTGCCTAATTCTCTTTTCAGCTACACTGAACTGGAAAAAGGACGGAGGACAGAACTAATGCAATAAGAATGTGACGAGAGTGTGGTTTCTGACGGTCCCAAATCTAGCTGTATTCAGTTCTGGAATAGATCCAGAAAATACTTTGTCCCTAGGCATGCCAACAATGATGGGTTCCAGGCATACTGAGCAGGTCCAGAAGAGTAGTTAGGCCGGAAGCTTTCGTGAGAAGTGACCCTAAATTCCTCAGCCTGAACATAGTAGCTCATGTCAAGCACCTTTCTTGTGCTATAAGAACTTTTTTTTTTTTTATGGTGCTAGGCTCTGAACCCAAAGCTTCACATACACTAGGTGTATGTTCTACCACTGAAGAACTATGCACTACAGCCTCAGCCTGACATCATTTCTGAAGTCCACTGTAGGGAAAGAACGAAACAGAACTTGTGGGAAGCAGTGGAGGGGGTGCTGGATCACTGGGGTTATAGTTCGCCTCCTTGAGTGGGACAGGGGTGAAATATCTGTTGATCCACAGGGGATAAAAACATTCATCAGTCACCTCCACGAAGACTGCCTCAGGCTTGGACTTTCTTTCGTCTTACTGCAATATAACTCAGGTTTCAATAAGACTTGGACTTTCACTGGTAACCACAGACAACAAATCAGGGAGCCTAGAGTCTAAACTTTGCCTCCGGCAGTAAGCCCAGCGATTATCATACAAGCCATCTTCAGCAACACTCCCTGAGGAGTGACCTGAAACCCAAGGCAAAGCAGCAGACCACAGCACTTCTACTCCGCCTCTCGACTAGACTCAGCTCTCTAATCCTTAGGCCACCTCTCCCAAAAGATAGCCACCTACAAGATGGGCAGCAGACCCTGGCAGCAGAGAGACCAAAAAATGCTCTCCTTCATTCAGTGTCTGGGTTCTTTGTTCAAGAAACGTGTCTCCTCTTGGGTCATTCACATATGATTTATTGTGCACAGTCTGCACAAATAGGCTTGGCAGAATACATGCAGTCCATGGTCATTGACTGATGCCCTTTATATGGAAGGAAACAGACTCATTTTCTAGGCTAATAGTTACCCTGCTCATGTCCTTAACCCATAAATGAAGTGCTAGAAGTAAGAACCATTCAAGCATTGCCTACCCTGGGCCTAAATCCAAGTCTAGAACCTAATCTTGGTCCCTCCTCTCTCCTCTCCTCTCAGAGAGATGTGGTCCTGCAGTAGCCAGTGGCTATCCTGTTCACACCGCTAGTCTCAGAAAAGCACTAGCAATACCATTCATGACAGTTACTAAATGCCCACTGGGTGCCTTGCCCTAAGTATTTTAAATATTTACCCAATTTTTAAATCTTCTTCATTACCATTTTTCTGTCGTCTAGAAGAGCTTCTCACCTGCTGGGAGCTCAATTCTTTGTGAATGAATGGACATGGGAGGCAATAGTATGACCCCATTTGACTAAGACAGTCAGCCACAACTAGTAAGCAGAAGAACAGAGTGAAATTCTAAGCAGTCTGTCTTCAGGATATAAACAAAAACCACTACTTACTTCTCTGAACGGCAGATTTAGTCAAAATGGAAACCAAGACTTTATATCAGGATCACAATCCACAATCTCTTACATCACAGTTTATCTGTTATCATTAAGGTGACAAGAAAACAGAACAGAAAAAAAAAGAAGCAACTAAATGTGGGAGGTAAAAGCATTAACTGGTACAGACTGGAGCCCTTAAGGCTGAGCCATTATAACCTATTTACAGTGGCTCTCCAGCATGACTGAGTCCCTGGGCATCCTCTCAGAATAGCCAGAGAAGAGAGTTATGTGGCCACCTGAGTTAGAAAAGGAGCAACATTAGCTCCCAGGACAGGACAATGGTAGGGGCGAGGTGGGGCAGGCCACAGAGATCAAAGCGAGAATGCTGGAATTGGAACTAAGCAAAGTAAATAGTGTCTCCTGCTGTACGTATGCCTAGCCAGGAGCACCGTGTACCAGCATAGAGCGGGTCACTGCCCAGAATGGCAGGGCAAGAAGAGTCAGGTGAGCCTACTGCATTACCCGTTCAACTGATTAGCCCAGAGACCATTCAAGCCAGGGAAAAGGTGGCTGGGATTATAGACAGCAGGCAGGCACTGCAGGAGGAGGTGCAGGGCATGGACACTTCAGTCTTCCCTCCTCAGAAGATCTGAGTCAACAACACAGCCAAAAACAAAAGTCCTACCTTTGAGATTCACATTTGCATGTATGTGACAGGCAGATATTTTTTGTTTGGTTTTGTGTTTCAAGTGATACTTAGTAACAGACTTATAAATCAGTGGTGACAGGAACTCAGAGAAGAAAGGGGTGAGTTCCAACTGAGTCCTGAAAAAAAGCCTCAGAAGACCCTAAGAGAGACATTCATGGATCTAATCTACATGGGAAGTAGAAAAAGACAAGCTCTCCTGAGTAAACTGGGAGCATGGGGACCATGGGAGAGGGTAGAAGGGAAGGGGAGAGGAAGGGAGGGAGCAGAGAAAAATACATAGCTCAATAAAATCAATTTAAAAATTTAAAAATAGATAAATAAATACATAAATAAACAATTTTAAGAAAACAGTTTAAATTAAAAAAACTCAGAAGTGGTGACATCAAGGTGAGCCTTGAAAGGCAGACTGTGAGCATAGTGGAGATGTGTGAGGTGTGAAAGTGTGAAGAAACGGGGTGTGTCATGCGGAGTGCAACCAGAAAGCTAAGCTCATACACACTGGATTGCAGCCCACTTTCTCTGAATCAGGGTCATGCCCATGGAGATTTCCTTGTGCTTCATGATTGGCTTTCTCTATTTGATAGTGTTTGCAATAGCTTCCTTGGCACCCAAGTAATA